AACTGGCCCCAAAAATTTCACCAGTTTTGCATGAACACGCACTTATAAGAATTTGAAGGACTGAAAAATTCATTAGTCATGTTTATTATTTCACAAATCCCCCTATTAAAATTCTTGCGAGCAGGGTTCGTTGTTTTGATTGCATTTCACACCCCATGTTTTATATTGCATTTGAAACAATGCATGATATTGATAGCGCACTAAGTGTATTTTCATTCAGTTAAGAAACGTAAATGCGCGTTTCTAATCATATTCAAAAACTGATTATGGCACGAGCATAACAAATTTAATAAGATGACGGTCTTCCATTTGCGCGAGATTGTGAAAATCATAACAAATGCTGATTTTGGAGGGAGATAACATAATATTCCCGAAGGCATTTTAATTTTTAGAATCTAAGATTGCGAAATAAGGTACTGTTATTCATATGCGATAGAAAGTGCTCTATTTGTGCGCAAAACTCGAGAGATCTCATGCGTTCTGTCATAGGATACACCGCGAAGTCGAAAGCGTTGAGCTTCGAGGTGATTAATCAAGAAAAGTTTTCAATTTTTTATTTCAAATTAAAAATTAATTGAAACATCATAACGGCATATTAAATAATAGTTTTATAAGTCACCCGGAGGGATTGTCCAATCATATATTGGGGAGCTTGGAAAACGAGTTAGAATATTAATACAAGGGGTTTTTGCCACGGTGGTGCATGGCTACTATGTCATGGCTTCATGTCATTTCGTCACTCAGTGTCAATCTGCCTCTAGCAAACACCACAGTCTTTCAGATCCGGGTACTCTAATAGTCCCTCCTGTCAATAGCAAGGACTCGACGAATGGTTCTTGCTTGACGTCTAGGAATAACAATTTAGAGCTGAACATTTTCATCTTGCAGAAACACTGGGGTCATATGAATTGAAATGGGCCTTATTGAACCTCCATGAGAACAATTTAGAACTATAATTGTTTCCTTTTGTTGAAACACCACGTTATTTCCACGAAACAGTAGAATTATAGTGATTTTGCAATGAAAACATGCAAGGAGTTTAGAGCTATGTATAATATCACTGCAGTTCATAATCGTTGAAACCTTAACTATTTGTCCTAAAAATGTGTTGTGCTCTAACGCAGGATAAAGCCTCGCCCCAATGCCCTATAGTGTCATCGTATGCTCTAGTCGGCATTATTGAGGATAATGTAATATCAGTGCCGATGGCGTGGCGGCAAAACTTCTCAATTATTTATCTCTAAGTAATAGCAATGGTACAGAACTAGAATATTACCGCCAGGAGCCTTTTCTGAACAACGTTTTATAAAAAAATAACTAATAACTATAGAAACATCTGTTCGAGTCTTTTAAACACATCCAGCCCCTAGAATGTAATATAAAACCCTATAAAGTTAAATTTCTACGAAAGTAACACAAATGATCGAAATTGGAAAACTAAACGAGTAAAGTACTCCCCTTTTGTTATGTAAGCAAACTTTCCAACGTTTGTGTAATTATTTATAATTTGACGTTTTTGGCCCATTAATGAATTCCAATCTTCTCATTAAGAATTAATTAGTCAGGCGAGTCTGACATATGTTTTGCTTGAATGGATTAAACAATCAGTGGCGATCTATTAAGATATTGTTCTTGCTTAACCAAAATGGAGATAGTAGATCATGATTAATTTCTTAGACTACTTTTATTTTATCAAGGTATTCATATATTCATGATAAATTTAGTTTAAGTAAAGCCTTATCGCAAGTCGGGATCAGGTTTGCGCAGTTTCACTAGAGAGTCCTGGGTACGGAGATTTTGCCAGTGGACTCTATATATATATATATATCTGGAGCAAGAACTTCAGTCATTCGGCCTATGAGAAAAGTGGAGCCAAGATGGCGGCCATGCATTGACGTCCAATAGCTCTGAAGGTCGTAAACAGTTTTAATACCATTTCCCCCCAGCTAAGACCAGTTTTTTTCTAATAGTGAAACGCCTGTATTCTAAAAGCTCACTCTCGCTCACACTCAAATAGCGGAGGTTCAATTTGAGCTTCCCCTAGCTGAGTGTCATTGCTGTTTTTGAATAGCTGAAGGGTTAGTGTCGTACCTTACTGAATGTGACTACTCGCCCTCCAGCTATTCAAAAACAGTATTGTCACTCAGGGGAAGCTCAGATTGAACCTCCACTCTTTAGCTTTGGGTGTGAGTGAGCTTTTACGGAATACAGGCGAATATAACGCCAATCAAGTTTTCAGTTCGTGAAATCATAATATATGTCTTTAAATCGAAGTCAAAATCTGAAATTTCCGCACACTCCTGGAGTATCATATTAATATGCCACGTTATGACTCGTGTCTGAACACAATGGAAGGGTCAGTTAGAAGCTTATCCCAACTAACCCACCCTGCCTAACATTCTCTGTGAGAGGAAACCAGAGCACGGTCCGGAGAAAACCCACGACTTTTGGTAGAGCGCTGACTGACTTTTCCATATAAGTGTCTGCAGCGAGAATCGAACCCACGGCTTGAGAAAGGCGCTTGCTTTCTCTCAAGGTTCAACTGCGCCGCATTTTCCAAAAAAATATATTGCTATTCTTCTTTAATTAACGACGTTTTAAAATGATGAAAAATATGCGAGAAGATTAATAAGATCAAACGACACCCTGACTGCGGTTGTTTTGCGTATAATTTTGCAAAAACGTTTAAGTAATTAGAGATTAAATATAGTTGCCGCGCAAATTTTAATATTTAGACTACCACTCAATATTCTCTATATGGAGACATGTTTTCGCTTCGTTTTATAATCACTTCTGGTTATAATTATGAGGTTATAGATGCTACGATAAGTTAAACAATTGAAATGTGTAATTACTTGTTTATTTAGATGGGCGGTATACAATCAGTTGTTTTCTGATGTTAGGATTGGAAACAGAGGTTAGTGGTCAGGGCGTTACTATATATTGAATAACCCTATCGCTTTTAAACTCCTTTGAGATCCAATAAGCAAGGATCATCTCTTATTGATCCAGTGTTACTACAGGAGGAAACCTAGACTAAACTAACTTTATTTATACTGGATAGCTCTATCAGTTCTAAACTGTTCTTCCCGGAGGTTCAGTAAGGATTATCTAGTATTGATCCAGTGTTACTACAGGAGGAAACCTAAACTAAACTAAGAATATTTAGATCCCTGTTAGTTCTAAACTGTTCTCCCTAGAAGTCCAGTATAAGGGTCATCCCTTATTGATCCAGTGTTGCTGCAGGAGGAAACCTAAACTGAACTATCTTTATTTATACTGGATAGCTCTATCAGTTCTGAGCTGTTCTCCCTATAGGTCCAGTAAGGATCATCTCTTATTGATCCAGTGTTACTACAGAAGGAAACCTAAACTAAACTAACTTTATTTATACTGGATAGCTCTATCAGTTCTAAACTGTTCTTCCTAGACGGATCCAGTAAGGGTCATCTCTTATTGATCCAGTGTTACTACAGGAGGAAACCTAAACTAAACTAACTTTACTTATACTGGATAGCTCTATCAGTTCTAAACTGTTCTTCCCAGAGGTCCAGTAAGAATCATCTCTTATTGATCCAGTGTTACTACAGGAGAAAACCTAAACTAAACTAACTTTTATTTATACTGGATAGCTCTATCAGTTCTAAACTGTTCTTCCCAGAGGTCCAATAAGGGTCATCTCTTATTGACCCAGTGTTACTACAGGAGGAAACCTAAACTAAACTAACTTTTATTTATACTGGATGACTCTATCAGGCTTCCTAGAGGTCCAGTAATGATCATCTCTTTATATTGATCCAGTGTTACTACAGGAGGAAACCTAAACTAGACTACTGGATATTTCTATCAGATCTAGGAAGGGTCGTACGTTCCTCATAATTATTATCCCAGTGACGTAACAGGACAAAAAGGAGTATACCTGAATAAAACCTGTGATGTTTGGTCAAACTATGAAGCGCTCTGCTCAGGTGGAAATGAAATTGCAGGGATCGAAAGCTGTTCACAGTGAAGAAAGACTCCAACCACTGTGACACCAGCAGCCTCTTATGGCGTAATGGCGTCATTGAGACTATATCATTAAACACGAACAGCCCTCATACTGCGCCTTAAAATCATTCCTTTGTCTGCCCCAGATCATTTTTGAGATATCCTTTATTCAATTACGTACTGACGTAGGATTTTGTTGATTCAGAGCACGCAAGAGGAAAACGAACAATGTAACGGTTGAGCACGCAGCGTGACGTTAATTGGACACGCGTGGTATCACGCTGGGCTGACGTTGAAGTAAGTGGAAAAACAAGTAAAACAATTAACTTTAAATGAATCACCGAAACAGATTTGATTTTTAATCAAAGTTTACTACGATAGCTCTATCAGTTATAAACTGTTCCTCCCAGACCTCCTGTTGTAATAAGGTCATCTCTTATTGACCCAGTGTTACTACAGGAGGAAACCTAAACTAAACTAACTTTATTTATACTGGATAGCTCTATCAGTTCTAAACTGTTCTTCCTAGAGGTCCAATAAGGATCATCTCTTATTGATCCAGTGTTACTACAGGAAACTTAAACTAAACTAACTTTATTTATACTCGATAACTCTATCAGTTGTAAACTGTTCTCCCTAGAGGTCCAGTAAGGATCATCTCTTATTGATCCAGTGTTACTACAGGAGGAAATCTAAACTAAACTAACTTTATTTATACTGGATAACTCTATCAGTTCTAAACAATTCTTCCTAGAGGTCCAGTAAGGATCATCTCTTATTGATCCAATGTTACTACAGGAGGAAACCTAAACTAACTTTATTTATACTGGATAGCTCTATCAGTTCTAAACTGTTCTTCCTAGAGGTACAGTAGGAGTCATCTCTTATTGATCCAGTGTTACTACAGGAGGAAACCTAAACTAAACTAACTTTATTGATACTCTATCAGTTCTAAATTGTTCATCCTAGACGTTCAGTAAAAGAATTAACTTCACACAATTCATTGAAATATATTCTCGTAGAAGAATCAAACTTTATTTAGAACCCGTACATTATTATTTACAAATAATAGATATTAAGCAAATGCCATGTAGTACAGGGTTCCAAAATTCTTTAGGTAGAATCGTATTGCATGATTGAGTACAACCTCGCAAGTCAGAGTAAGTATTATTCTAAATATCTGTAGCTTTAAAATTCAAGAGTCAGAAAAGCAGCAACCCTTAATATGTTACTTGACCATGCATAAACTCACTGTCGTCACAGAACCCAGTTTATCCGTAGTAGTAAATGTAGCCACCTGTTACAAAATTCGCCATAGTATCGAGTGTCGTATTATTTGGAACCTTTTTCATCCAGGTAGAAACCTTCATCACCGTATTTTGAATGTGTTGCTGAAGTGCCACTTTGATTTGAGTTTGTGATAGTTGCGTGTTTATTATCCAAGTTGTTTGAAGCTAAATTGAAATACAAAAATAGTTTGAACAAAATTTATAAAATAAGAATTTTAGAAGAATCCTTTCTGATAGAACCATAGTTTGATTCTCGGTTTGATTTGATGTTTTTTTTTATTATTTACTTGTTTGTTTGTCATTCTTTGTGTTATGTGTGTTTGAGTGTATGTCTTTTGTTTCTTTGTTGTTAGTTTTTTTTCAATCTCTTCATGGTGTGAACTTTTTGCGTTTGTTTCTCCTTCCTTTCTCTGTTCGTTCATTTGTTCCTTTGTTTGGCAGTAAGACTGCTACAACTCTTCAACTTTCTGATAATCAACGTAATTTTTACCTTGCAATTGTTGCAGCATATTATTATACTCTTGAATGACCATAATTGACTTTACATAACCACAGCAAGCACCGACACCTAAAGAAAGCATTTAAATCTGTAGGGCTTTCACTCACAAGGTCAAGCTTCTTCAGATAGTTCAACTACCATGGCAGCTTATTGTAGACACCGGACCACCACGTTTGAGATATCTTTTTCAGGTAGTTCAGACACAATTAAACCATGCCCACAGACTCCAACGTTTGAGCTAGATATCTTTTTTAGCAAGTTTAGATTGTAGAATATACCACCTACACCAGATCTTCACGTTTGAAATGATATTTCAATTCGTTACAGTGCCTTCACCTTGCCAGAATAATGTTATCAATGCTATTAAGTCTATCCTGTTGTAGGATGGCCAGGGTTTCAGCTTGGATCATGGATTGATTGCAGGTGCAATTTAGGAAACTTTCAAAACTCACCCAAACAAACAAGTGGTATGTATTTAGATTGTTTTTTAAAGGTTTTTGTCAATTTCAACACAACATATGTAGCAGCACTCCCTAAAATGCAATTATATCATCATGATTAAAATTGTTAACCCATTAATTAAGCTGCAATGCCCCAAAAATGTGACTTACTTTATTATTTTACTCTGTCTAATGCCAGATTATTTTGTACATTGTCTAATACCACATCAATAGATTAACTGATTGGCTGACTGCCTACTTGATCAACCAACAAACTTAATGACTAACCTGAACTGAGTGACAGACAGACAGATCAACAGATTGACTGCCTGACTGCATGCTAGCAGATTGGCAGACGACCTGCTCGACCATGCAACCAACAAACTTACTGACTGAAATACAGTTACACAGATAGACAAACAGACTGGGCTATCTCACTGACATTTGCTGACAGGCCTGCTTAAAGGAACCAACTCGCTAACCAACAAACTGACCGACTGACTATTGGTTTGTTTAGTATTTACCAATAATAAAAGATGATATTCCAGAAATCCTTGCTTGCCGATGACATGATTTCATGTCTTCATAAGCCTGCATCGAACAGAATAGTGTTAATGATAATTTATTATTTTACTCTGTCTAATGCTAGATGATTTTATTTGTCAAGGAGAGAGTCTTGCTCGTTCATTAATGCTGTTAATAAGAGACTGGGCAGATAACCTTTCGGCTTGTTGTTGAAAGGGCCCTGTGTAATTTTCTCTGCCCCCCCCCCCCAAAAAAAAGGAAAAAATCCAATTGGAATTTAGGGTAATTTCTAATTAAAGTAAATCTTTCTGTCCCGAGTTGAATGGATTCCAATATGAAAATTTAAATTCCTATTGGAATTCCAATTGGTTCCAATTGGAATTTGGGCCAATTTCCAATAGAAATTTCTATTGGAATTCTAATTGTAAGGCTGGCCTTTTAACCAACCTTGTACCCAGGAGAACCCTTGGGTATGACTATGAGGTTGGCCTTTGCTGGTAAAAAGCTGACAGCTCCCTCAGCTTCAAGCACAGCTAACACAATTAACTGCCATCATAATTGTTATAAAACTTCGCAGACGTGTAAATTTGTGAATGCATTTATATAGCTAGTGTGTGCCAATAAACGATATATATTTAGAAATTTATACATAGCATGAATTAGCCATTTTTTAAATTGTTTAGTTAATCACTTCCTAACGCACCCAAAATACCTTACAACATAACAACCTATGTTTTAACTTCTATTTTTTATACAATTATAAATAATAATATCAAGAATATCTAACAAAATACCGAATCACTGCCAAGCCTTCTTTTCAAAATTGAATCCATTTTTTGTTGTCATTTCCAGTTCCCCACTATGAATATAGCGGCGGTTAAGACTCTGGAGTAGTGCTCTGGAAACGCTGCACCAGAGCATCATTTTACAAAACAAATTTCCGACAGCAAATATCCGATTCCGTTACGTCATTGATGACGTCAATAGATCGTTTGTGGTTATCCGCTGGATGCCAAATTCAAAGACGAAAATAGAGAGTGATGCTATACAAGAACTAGTGATCTGATATTGACCCGGTATTTTTGCGACGTTTAAGTACATTTGCGTGTAAACGACCAATATTTTCTATTGACCACAATCGACTGACCCGCTTTTTTTTTGTCGAAGATTTGACAGTCAAGGCAAAGTTTTCGTTCCGTGCAAATAAAATCACCCATACTGATTTTTTAGGTTTATCAGTCTAAGTGAAATATTTATGACCACATATTTTTTACACTGAAAAACCGCCCTGGAGTTATCCGGACAAAACAGGGGGTGCTGATTGACCTCGATCTACACAAGTCTCTCTCTGTTTTTCTAGGAATTTTTCTAAAAAAATATTCTAGTCTAGTCGTAGTGATTGTGTGAGTAGTGTTACTCGTGACTCGTGTTTTATGCTATTCTAGAATTTGGCAAATACAACGATACGTCATTGAAGACGTGTTCATTCTAACAATTACACTTTCACTTTAGCAAGAGTCAAGAGAGGAGGTCATGACTTTACAGAATTACAGTTTCACTTTGCATTCCAGTACGCCATTCTTGTTCAAAGTACCACGAGTTTCATCCTAATTTTCACATCACACAAACACTTGTGCAACATTTACTATAAATTCGTTTGGGGTGATTTGTGTGACTGATTTCAGTAACTAGTGATATTTAAGTCTTAACCCCGTTTACACTACGCTCAATTTTTGGTACGGCACGGATAAAATTGGTACCCGTACCACTTTTTTTGGTTCTTGGACTATCTATTTAGCTAAGCCCCGTTTACACTACGCTCAATTTTTGGTACCGTACCACTTTTTGGTTCTTGGTACCGTACCACTTTTTGGTTCTCAATTTTTGGTACCGTACCACTTTTTGGTTCTTTTGGTTCCAAGAATCAAAAAAGTGGTACGGGTACCAATTTTATCCGTGCCGTTCCAAAAATTGAGCGTAGTGTAAACGGGGCTTTAGTATATATACATGAAGTTGTGGTTAGAGCTGGACAACTGTCTCTCTGCGTATCTCAGTTGGTTAGAGCGCTGCAACCAGAGGGCCTATACTTACTGATGGTACAAGATACGGATCTGGCTGTAAAATGCTGGAACGCACGCACCAATACTAAATATCCCATAAAGCTTTGCGAGCGTCATTGGCGGATGTGAACTGATTGTTGTTTCATAGTAGAAACGTCGAAATTCGAAATTTTTGATCGCAAAGAACGATCGTCGTTCCAATTAGAATATAGAAAATTGCTACAATTTGATCAAGTATATGTAAAAATATTTAGAGAGTGGAATTATGGCATGGGGCACTGAATTATGGGTCTGTAGAATATGTTTGCTTTTGCGTTTGACAAGTGGGTTCATTTGTGTTAATTTTGAACGAAATTTTACGAAAGTTCTGTTCTTTTATTCAGGATTGTTCTGATGTGGTGGCTTATCATACCCAACAGTCAATTGAATTCATCGAAAAAGTTTCAAAATTTACGAAAGAAAGATCTCGAATTGAACAAGATTATGCAAAGGAACTGAGGTGAAGAAATGTCCCGTATTTGATGTATTGATCTCTGACGGAAATACACATGCTTCAAATTGCAAAATGCTATGTGATCTTTTGGTGTTGTATGAACCTAAATACAATACAATTTGTTGCCAAAGAATGCTTTATGTTTATTGTACATTTCTTGACCTTAAACCTGTTACAAGTATGTGGTGTTATTTTACACCAAATACAACATATTGTAGCAGTGTTTTTTGACTACGAAAATAACTTAAATAAAGAGTTTCTTTGTTTCAAAACTATGTTTAATTCCGTTGATTTTACCTCATTGCTAATATTTAAGTTCCAAGTGTTAATTGTATCATATTTCAGCTCTTGAGCAACGCCATTTTAAATTTTACACTCGGTGGATTATATTTCAATACACGCATTGAATGTTTTATTGACTAGAATTCTGTCTGATAATTTGAATATCATAACAATTACTAAGTTCTTTTTACTCGTAATTAGCTTGTTAAATAGTCACAGTCGGTGTAAATAAACAGATGGACACCCTTGGCTTAAAATTACTGAATTCATCCTTGCTATTAGCTTATTTTCATTGCTAGATATTATGGAATATACTACATAATATTTGGTTTCCTCTTATGTATATAAGCACTTTCACCTTAAAAGTAAAGACTGTAAAAATGATAATATAGCTAATATTGCATAGTGTAAGCCTCACAGTTTAAATAAACATTTGATACTGTTTATTTTTGCCCTGTTTAAATTTAGCCATGTGATTTTCTCAATTTAATAAAGTCTACATTGCAGTATATAATATTAGGCCAATATTGGCACAAACAGATGTAGAAAAACTTAAATTGCCATGGGCGTAAATGGGTACAAATTTTTGTGCTACTGTTTGGCATGGTGAATCATTCTGGAACAGACTGTGCTGTGTGCAATGAAAGCAGAACAATCTTCTATGAACTTGTTAAAATTTACAAACATACAATCCACACAAGTATTTGTGTTATTTAATAATTTGCACTTTACAATAAAAGCTTTGGAGAAGTGGCATATGTCCATATGGCTTGAGATATATTGTTTCTTTTACAGAAAGTTGTGCAAGTCTTTTCATCCTAAGAAGAAAGAAGAATCAAGGTTTGTATTCAAATATAGGAAGGTTTTCAGTAGGTGGTGACTATCCATGGAAAAATCTTCCCACGCCCAGAAAGTCATAGCCCCCCACCTTCCCATCTCACCTCAGGAAAAGTTACCCCAATAAGACAACACCTTGTCTAAATGTCATCATACCGGTGCGCAGGCTTTTAGCCAGGGTCCTGAAATAGGGCTTCCAATTTTGGTACAACAATACATCTACAGTAAAGAGGGGGGTTTGAAAAACGTTCCTCTGGAAAACCTTTGAATTTTAAGTTACTTCATGTCAGTATCTGTTCCAGGCTTGTTCGAAATTTTTCAAAACACTTGGCTTTGTGAGTTTGTGCCGCTATGCTTCTTAGTTAACTACAACATTTTCATTCAGCCAGGTATACCATCCAATTTATCAAAATGTCAAATGTATAATACTGAGAATTGAAGCTATTTTGTTTCAGTTATGTTAATACACTTAGGGAAATCATTGAAAATAATTTCCCATTTCTCCCAGAATTTGGGCGTCCAAAGGCGTCCATTTTTCGTTCTATGGGCGTCCCAGGACGCTTGGATGCCCTTCTGGCTAAAAGCCTGGTGGTGCGTCCTTTTCATGATCGAAGCTGCGTTTGTGATCTACACTTGCATGCAGAGCACATGCAGGTCAGCCCTGATCATCTCTTCAACATTTTGAAATCTTTGCATTATTCTGAATCTGAATTTATTATGTTGGTAAACTCATTTCAAGATCACACCAACCTTACAAATGTATACTAATATAGCAATATACTAAACTTACACTATATTATTATTTTAGTCTGTCGGTGCACAAAGCATTCCTTGGTATCTTGAAAGAGACGGAAGACATCGCTGGACAACATGAAGTCATCAGTGAAGAATTACAATCCAAAGTTTATAAAGAATTACAGAATCTTCATAATGAGGCAAAGCAGGAAAGGAAAAAAGTAAGTGGAAAATTATCCATTGATTCAACAGGCTTTAATCATGCATGCTTGTGCTTTAATTTACTCGTTTTTGACCGAGTTTGGCTCTACCCGGTTTTCTTCAGTTTCCTCCAGAAGTAACATTGAATGAGAAATTAATTTGTCTTGCATTGTCAGGCAGCGTAAACTGAACGTAGCATAATTTATGCATTATACGTAATACTGGCAGAGGTCTGCAGTCTCGGAGTATTACTCTCGGAGAGCAAAGCAGAATAGTTGAATAATTGAGCGTGAAAGACTTGCTGGGAAAGCGAGCTGTGTATTAGTCCTGTCTAACTTGATTATTATCTCAAAGTTTTTAGATGGTGAAAAGACCTTACTACGAAACCTTCAGCAGTCTATGAACACATTGGATAATGTAAGTTTTGGTATTCAGTAATATTAAACAACACTAGATAGTGGAACTTTGGAAATCTGTGCAAGAAAATTAAAAATCTTTGTTCATAATAATTTGCCTCCAAACACAAAACAACAACATATATAATGGAAAGAAACTCACTATGTATGTTAACTGTCAGTTACTATCACGTCTCAACTATATATATATATATATATATATATATATATATATATATATATATATATATATATATATATATATATATATATATATATATATATATATATATATATATATATATATATATATATATATATATATATATATATATGTTTTTGTGGCAGCTTGTAGAATATGTAATTTGGTGTGGATGCGTATCAAGCCTATACTCAGAAAAATTCTGAGCCCTAACGGGAATTGAACCACGTAACCTTCTGATTACCGGACAGACGCTCTAACCATTGAGCTATAAGGCATCAGATGGTGAGCCAAGGTTACGTTATTTACTAGTTCTGTGTGTTACATGTGTACTGCTAACTGCAAGTCTCGACATCTCAACACGTAACCTTGGCTCACCATCTGATGCCTTATAGCTCAATGGTTAGAGCGTCTGTCCGGTAATCAGGTTACGTGGTTCAATTCCCGTTAGGGCTCAGAATTTTTCTGAGTATAGGCTTGATACGCATCCACACCAAATCACATATTCTACAAGCTGCCACAAAAACACACATATACAGAAATGCAGTTCTTAATAATAACATGAACAAGACATGTCGAGACTTGCAGTTAGCAGTACACATGTAACACACAGAACTAGTAAATAACGTAACCTTGGCTCACCATCTGATGCCTTATAGCTCAATGGTTAGAGCGTCTGTCCGGTAATCAGAAGGTTACGTGGTTCAATTCCCGTTAGGGCTCAAAATTTTTCTGAGTATAGGCTTGATACGCATCCACACCAAATCATATATATATATATATATATATATATATATATATATATATATATATATATATATATATATATATATATATATATATATATAACAATTCAAGTTTTCTTGATATAATATAGAGTGCTCAATACTTTATTGTAGAGCTAAATTTATTTAATTATTTATGAAATAAAGTACAAAACAAACGTTGTTACTCAGAGTTTCATGCCTGAGTTTACAGACAATCTTCGGACAACTAAAGTTCTGTTAACTAAATTTGACGGTTTGGTTTTGTTTTAAATTATCCATTAACAAAACCAAACCGTCAAATTTAGTTAACAGAACTTTAGTTGTCCGAAGATTGTCTGTAAACTGAGGCATGAAACTCTGAGTAACAACGTTTGTTTTGTACTTTATTTCATAAATAATTAAATATATATATATATATATATATATATATATATATATATATATATATATATATATATATATATATATATATATATATATATATATATATATATATATATATATATATATAGATCATAACCAGTTTGCCAACCAATCATACAGTAAATTTAGTCTGTCTTTGAGAACAATTATTTGGTCAATAAAATGTGGTTTTAGGCCAAAAGAGCATATGAAAAATCAAGCAAGGATGCAAATGAAGCCTTCCAAAACTTCCAGAAAGCTGACAAGGATATGAACATGACTAAATTACAAATTGAAAAGGTATGTCAGGCTTTCACCATATCCTTCTTTTATAGTCAGATATTCACTCAGACAGTCACTTATTAGCCAACCCGTCAGTCAGCCAGCTAGCCAGTTGGATGACCAGTCAGATGCTCTGATATCTACCCC